ATACTGTTTTTTATACATATAATTATTAATACTATTAGCAAGTTAGAACAAATCCAAGTCAACAAATATACGAGGTTGCGCCGAAGCCAGACTTCGCACATGGCTCCGCTCAAACGCCACACGCTATTTTTATTTTTTATATTATCATCTGTGACGACATGGACCGTCCGATCCATGACACGTGTCCATCTGACCTCAACTTTGCCGCTATTCTTTACGTTTGCTTGCCGGCTGGCAATTTTGTCCCCATCCGTGACTCCCATGGTTCTATTCCCACGCCAGCGTCTAAAGATTTTCAAGATAAAATCACATCTAATGGCCCAAACCTTTCAAATTATTACAAAATACTCGAAGTGGTAATTATAATAAATTTTTCAAAACTAAAAATATAATTGCGGTTTCTGAATTTACTATTGATTTTTCCTTAAAACTATTGCCATTTTTTTGTGATTTTTCAATATACTAGTAATTTCTATTTTAATAATAACCTTTACTGTAAAAATAATTATAATTGTAAGTATGTTTTGGCATTAAATGTTTTGTATTAAAGGGTATATTACTGGCAAAAAAAAGGGGTTAAAGTATTTGCAAATACGTATCCGACATCATAATGTTTATTTGAGTGTAAAAATATCATAAAAATTTTAAAAAGAACAAAAATACCACGGTAATTTATTTAAGCAAGTGTCTAATACTTTTTAGTGATAATAGACACCTGTTTAAATTAAGGATTGTGTCATTTTTACGTTCTCTTAGAATTTTTATAAGCATTTTTTTAGCAAAGTCGATATTGTATGCTAGGTGTGTATTTGGAAATATTTTATGAATAAACCTAAAACTAACAGTATTTTTTTGCCAGCACCTAAAACTAATAGTATTTTCATTATTACTAGTATTATAATTAATTATTACTTAGTGACAACGACTAATCTGAGTTAGTATATAAAACAATAATTCAGATTGCTCTTATGATTGGATGCCATTTGATGACCTACATGCTTGTCGATCAATTTTGAAATAAAAAGCATACCAAATGCGAGAGGTTAATCATATTTTATACAACTTCTTCTTAGACAACATTAACCAATAATCATGGGTTAGTACTAATCAATATTAATTTATTGTATCTTCATTTGTGGGAATTGGTTTGCCTCGCCAAACGAATCATAACTTGCATAAATCTGCCTGTTGCAATTATATTCCTTATTATTTATTATACATTACATTAAAAAAGTATTAGTTTTAACTAACAAATTATAATAATTAGGCCGATCGACCTGCACCAAATAAAAAAATATCATTCATATTATACTTGCAATTTATATATTTGATTATTATTAGAGATTCCTTACAAATGGTTCTGAAAGTTTCAAATTTTGTAATTGAAATTTCATAGCACTTTAAAAAAAAAAAATCCAAGAATTGATGTTGAACTTTTGTTAATTTGTCATTCATTTTATCAATGCTGTTAAACATGTGTTGGTATTATTAACATTAGTATCAACAAACAAGGAAAGAAGGGTAAATTGTTAAAAAAAAAAAAAAACTCACGTGTAATGTAATTAGTGTTAAATAAAGTATACGAATCAGGTCAAAACATACATATTTAAACTCTTTATGCATCACACGGTATGGATGTGGTAATAATGGTATGTTGATAGATTAAAAAAATAATGGGGCTGCTAAGTTAAAACTATTGAAACATGAGGGACACAATAATAGTTTTTTTTTTTTTTACACAACAGCTAAATAAAAATTAAATTTAATATAAAGGAATAGAGGAGTAATTTAAAAATATCCCAAAACAATCTCATTTGGCTAAATCAAAACTCACAAGATTCAATTGCATGTGCTTTTGTAGAGTATAAATTACATCCTGATAATCTATATTAATATTTTTCATCATATTTATGAGACACTTCTAATATGTTTTAATTAAATTTAAAAAATCTAAAATCTTATTATTCATGTCTTAAAATTGATTTTTTTTTTAAATTTTGCCCCTATTTAACATATATTAAGAAAATAATAATCTACAAAACAATAAATTAGGTGCAAAACTATACATTTATTTAATAAATTTAATTTTTTCCTCTCTCTATCTTGTACGCAAATCGAATATAAATTCAATCATCCTCAAAGCATGTAAGTGTATTAAAATGTTTGTATGTGCAAGCATAACAAATACTACCTCGGGTTATATTTATAAGAGCTAGTTGACTAATTTGAAAAGATTAAAAAGAAAAGTTAAATTAATTATTTGAAATAAATAAGTATTTTTTTCTAAAATATCCTTACTAATTAAGAAGTGTATTGGCTAAAACTATTATTGTTATAAGGATTTATCTTGAAAAAAAATACATAAATATGAGAAACAAAGTGGACTGAGGTCTTATATTTAGGACTAAAATAAAAATCAAGCAAGATCTTATAATACCTAAGGTCCTAATTATAAAAGCCAATTGACTAGAACTATCATTGTTAGAAGTGCTACTTTAGAAAAAAATATATAAATATAAGAGACAAAGTGGATTGAAGTCTTATATTTAGAACCAAAATAAAAGTCAAACAATGTCTTATATTAAGGACCGAAGGTAGTATTAAGGACCGGAGGTAGTAATTATTTGTTATATCTGTATCTGATTATCAATAATATGATGCGTTATTTGGTTAAAAAAGCAAAAAAAAACACTAGTAGGGGGGTGTATATGAAGTTTAGGTTAAAGCATTCAAGAAATATATTCGGGCGTGCCAAAGTACCGATTCATGCAAATAAAAGAAGACATTATTAAAGTCATGTATGCTCCTTTAGGTTAAAAAAAAAAATTTAAAGTTTGAAGGAGATTTCTGATGAAGCAACGAGGAGCAATAAAATATTAAATAGTCCCTCACAGCATTATCAATATGGCATAAAGTGATTACTAGACCTAATAGTGGTCAAAACTCAAAACAAAAAAGATCAATTAAAAAAAAGAAAAATCTATAAAATGGAAGTACTTTTGATTCCAGGTAAATTGCACTATAGCACTACTCATCCACCTAACCAAAACCACTTTTTCAAATTCACCTATGTTGCCTACCACATCTCTATTTATTTGTTCTAAAACTCACTCTCCACTCTTTCACAAATTTTAATTTAAATAATATCACTTTCCCCATCAATTTAAATAATTTTAATTAAATTTTTTTAACAAGTAAGAAAAATACCATTTTAAAAAAGAGGCATATTAAACTATTAATATTTAAATTGAGTAATACACCTTTCACATTTTTTCTATGATACAATTATCTGTGTATCAGAAAATATGCACACAAAAAGTAATATATGTCATGACTTTATTATTATGGTAATTATCATTTATTAATTAAAGAACTTTGCCTAAGGAAGAATAATTTTGAAAGGTAAAAAAGTAATTCAAATTTTAGATTAAGAAATTTTATATAAGGAAGAGAACAATTTTTTTTTCCCAAAGACATATGATTATACTTTCCTTAAGAAAAAGAAATTCCCGGTGCATTCTATATTACACTTTGCGCTGGAGCCAAAGGATAAGTGCGTTTTAACGGTCATTACGGAATTTAAATTGGGCTGAGGGTGAGTTGGTCATTTAAGACGAAATAAAAAGGTAAGCACAAAGGAGGGAAATGAGGATGCGGTGCGCGTTGACGCTCATGCGTATGCGGTGCACTACAATGCCGAGCGGAAGCGGTGGGGCCCCCACATAAGCGCCGACGATCCAGCCGGGCAAGACGTGACGCGTGGGTCCCAATCAAAGCACTCTCGCTTCCCAATCTCTTTCCAAAACGGACGTTCTCGTTTGTCTGAGGAGTTTCATGGTGGGCCCCATCTACGCGCCCGCTGGCTGACCTGGCATCATCGGTGACGCGGACGCGCAGCACCGAAGCGCCTGGGGTTTGGAAATTTTGGGAATGTGATCTAAAATTGTCGTTTCCATGTTGGTTCTGATTTAAACGACGATGAGACGAGGAAACGCACACCTCTAGTCCTCCTTCCAATTCCCAATCCAACAAAAACCTGCAGTACATCAGAAAAAAACGACCCACAGTTTAAGCAATTATCTTTATTATAATAATAAATAATACTCCATCCGTTCTTTATTATAAGAGAAATTTGATGTTTATGACATGTTCTCATATATAAGAAACACTTAAAAGTTGTCTCTATTTTTTGTATTGATTTCCTGTTTTACCCCTATTTATTTTGTCTCCAACTCATACTCTCTTCCTCCCACTTCTCTTTTTTTTAATAATTTAATTATTCTCTCTCATACTCTCTCTCCTTATTAATGGGGGCATTGTTGGAAAAAATATTATACTTTTTACACATTAATTGTCTTCAACTAATTTTAACTGTTTTTTTTTATCAACGTAATTTAGTTATTTATCTCTTATAATAAGGAACCGAGAGAGTAATAACCAACATTTCCTCATCGCCCGTATCTGCCAGCTTCTTAACTACGTCTGTTTCAAACTTTTAACAAGTAGAAATTTAAATTATGCAAGATAAGATTAATTAATTCATTGTATTTTTAATTTTTAAATAAACTGTGTAATAAGCAGCTGGTGTAACTGGTTTAGCCGGTCAACCCGCCGAAATTCTTCACCATTGAGGCATGGATTTGTCCATATATTTTACAATCATGCTAACAGCTTTCTTTGTATTTTTTTAAATAAAAAATGATGAGTAATGTCAATCCAATGAGGTTGTTCCAAGCTGCAAAAATGATTTAAAAAATTGTAAGTCATAATTGAGAATTATTATTTCATTAATAAATAAAAAAAATTCGAGTGAGCGTGGTTCCGCGTCCATGAATTTATCCAAGCGTGTTAAGGCCAAAAGAAACTCAAATGTAAACACTCACGGAAAAAAAAAAGATTAAAGAAAAACTAATAATTAATTCAGTCAAGGAATTAAATTAAAAAAAAAAAAGAAGAGAGAGAGAATACAGTGGGCTTTTGTTGAGGGTTGAGCTGTGAGTTAGCTGTCGTGGGATGAATTATTTCTGGCCCACCCTCGTTGCCTTCACTCATTCATAAGCTCACACAGCTCCAAAATCCCTAGAACAAGCCCTCCGCTTTCTTCCTCCTCCTCCATCCCAATCTCTCTCTCCCTCCCCTTCTCTCTCCTTCTCCACCTGCATTCTCCTCAGATCTCAAGGTGGACGTTTCTGTAAAACCTACTTTCAGTCTCGCCTGAGAATAACAGAGATATTGAGGGAGTGTTGTAGTTGAAGAGAGCTTGATCGATAGTGTGGCATTTGGTTTCTCGTATGCCTCATGTGAGATGAAGAGGAAGGTCTATTTCCCTCTTCTCATTGCCTTCTTCTTAGGCACACTTTCTCTCTGTGTCTCCGCCGATGTTCCCATTACCAGCCATGGAGCTCTCACTGATGCTGAGGCCATGTATATCAGGCAACGTCAGCTTCTTTACTACAGAGACGAGTTCGGCGACAGGGGAGAACACGTCACTGTCGATCCTTCTCTGGTTTTCGAGAACAATCGCATAAAAAATGCTTATATGGCTTTACAAGCTTGGAAGCAAGCCATTCTTTCCGATCCGAACAATTGTACGCTCAATTGGGTTGGAGCAAATGTCTGTGACTATAGCAACGTTTTCTGTGCTCCGGCGATTGACAACCCGAAGGTTCGTACTGTTGCTGGCATTGATCTCAACCACTGCGACATTGCTGGGTACTTGCCGGAAGAGCTTGGACTACTCGCGGATCTTGCTCTCCTCCACATCAACACCAACAGGTTCTGTGGTACTGTTCCTCACAAGTTTGATAGACTGAAGCTCCTGTTTGAACTGGATCTCAGCAACAATAGGTTCGCTGGGAAGTTCCCCACGGTGGTTCTGAGGCTTCCCGCTCTCAAGTTCTTGGATCTGAGATTCAATGAATTTGAAGGGACAGTGCCTAGAGAGCTTTTTGATAAGGATCTGGACGCTATCTTTATAAACAACAATCGGTTTGTGTTCGATCTTCCCGACAATTTCGGCAACTCTCCGGTGTCGGTCATTGTCGTAGCCAACAACAAGTTCCATGGCTGTCTCCCAGCGAGCTTGGGCAACATGACAAACCTTAATGAGATCATTCTGTTGAATAATGCCCTCCGTTCATGCTTGCCTTCAGAGATTGGGTTACTGAAGAACTTGACAGTGTTCGATGTGAGCTTCAATCAGCTCTTGGGTCCCTTGCCAGATACCATCGGAGGCATGGTGAGCCTTGAGCAGTTGAATGTAGCTCACAATTTGCTTTCTGGGAAAATTCCAGGGAGCATTTGTATGCTGCCAAACCTGCAGAACTTCACATATTCATATAACTTCTTCACTGGTGAGCCCCCGTCGTGCCTCAGTTTGCCGTCGTTCGATGATCGGAGAAACTGCTTGCCGGCGAGGCCATTACAGAGGTCAGCCGCACAATGCAAAGCTTTCTTATCAAGGCCTGTTGACTGTAACTCGTTTAAATGTAAGCCATTTGTTCCATCGGTTCCTCCGCCTCCCAACCCTTCCCCTCCGATACCGGTACCTTCCCCACCACCCGTTGTCGTCCCTTCACCTCCTCCCTCACCAGTATTTGTTCCACACTCTCCGCCTCCACCTTCCCCGCCACCTCCAGTATATTCGCCCCCACCGCCTCCTCCGTCGCCACCTCCGCCAGTCTACTCACCACCACCTCCTCCGCCAGTCTACTCTCCACCACCTCCTCCGCCTTCACCACCCCCACCGTCACCTCCCCCACCTTCACCTCCTCCGCCAGTCTATTCTCCACCGCCGCCGCCACCGTCACCTCCACCTCCCTCACCACCCCCGCCAGTCTATTCACCACCACCACCACCACCGTCCCCGCCGCCACCTTCACCTCCACCTCCTTCTCCATCCCCGCCACCACCTTCACCTCCCCCTCCATCTCCTCCACCACCTTCACCTACTCCAACGCCACCATACTGCGTCCGTTCTCCACCGCCACCGCCACCAAATTCACCACCACCACCACCACCGTCTCCTGTATTCTACCCTCCACCGACATACAGCTCGCCTCCGCCACCTCATCACTCACCTCCGCCACCTCCCCACTCTCCTCCACCTCCTCCTCACTCACCTCCGCCGCCTATTTATCCCTATTTATACACCACCACCTCCTCCAGTCTATTCTCCTCCTCCCCCTGTCCATTCACCACCCCCACCATCTCCCCCACCGTGTATAGAACCACCACCACCTCCACCACCTTGTGAAGAGCATCAACCGCCGCCACCTTCCCCCACACCTTATTTACCACCTCCCTCCCCATCTCCCCCTCCACCACCAGCTCCTGTTCACTACAGTTCTCCACCGCCGCCACCTGTTCAGTACAATTCGCCGCCGCCGCCCCCGCCCGCAGTTCACTATGGTTCTCCCCCACCACCAGTGTACCATTCTCCTCCACCGCCATCACCGCCTCCCTGTGAAGAATCTCCGCCTGCCCCGTCCCCACCTCCACCGGTCACGTACGGAAACCCTCCACCTGCTCCTGTATATGAAGGGCCTTTGCCACCTGTCTTCGGAGTCTCTTACGCATCTCCACCTCCACCACCCTTCTATTGATTCTTTTGAGAACTTTTCTCCTCTATCCTTCCTTCCATAAAAAAAATTCAGACATTGTCGGCAATATCTTTTATACCCTCTTCCTGTACTTCATCGACTCTGTTCTCTATCACAACGCGACTCTCGTCGCTCATGGAGGAAAAATAAACAAAGTGAGAATGGTTTGTACAACACTGAGTTAGTCATAGTCTCCAGTATTGTTCTTGTTTGGATGCCATCAATAGTCAGTCATAAAAGGACGCACAGAGAAGAGGTCAGAGTAGTTAATGAGTGAGGTATGAGGAGAAAGTCTCTCTATATTGATTTGAATTGTTATGAACGAGTTGTGAAATAAAAAAAATTGCAGAGAAAAAGAGTAGGTTGCATAGGGATGAAATGGAGACCATAATTTCAGGGCTGCAAAGACGGTAGCACTTTCTGCTGCTGCATCTTGTTTGTGGGTTTATTGTTAATGTCTCTTATAATTATACTTTTACTTTTGTTTCTTTTGTTTTTCGAATTTATAGTATAATTATGAACATTTACTTGTATTGATTCTCCGAATTCATATCATTCCCTTTTCTGATCTGTCTCAGTCTGTTTCTGCTAATTGAGTGATGTAGTTGTGAGTCCATCAATCCTTTTCTTTGAGGAATTGAACATGGCTGGTTGCTTGTAATTTTCGGTATGATAAATACAGGCACAAGAGCAGGATATGTTCAATTGTTCATCCATCTGCATTCACTTTTGCAAAGATCTGTTTTCTAAATTATCTATTCCCTTGCTTGCAAATGAAACTTAAATAAGAAAAGGGTGTATAATCATCATGAGAATTGAGATGTCTTTATTATGTTCTGAATAATTAGCCTGGGCCTGCAATAATGTTGTCGAATATATTATGGTTGAGGTTTGAAAATGGTGCTCATTCTTGAAACAAGATCGAGAGGCCACAACCAGAGAGTTTTCATTTCAGGTCCCCCATATCCAGTTGGTTCAGGGTGGGACCTAAATGGCCGGCTCAAGAATCATTCATTAAGGAGGGCCTGCAAGATTAAATATTCCTTATGAAGTTTCTTTCATTTGATTTAATATTTGTTTTGAGATCACTCTCCCCCATGTGCAAGCTTATCTTTTGAGATTTGAATTCAAATCTGTTTACCTGGCGCTATCTATTCCCTTTCCCCATTGGGATTATGAACAACTTCATACTGTTATGCTTGTGAGACGAAGCTTAAAACTTCACATTATTGCCTCTTTTCTTTCTGCTTTTTCACAGCACGATTTCACGGCCATTTTTGCTCCTTTCAATACTCTGCTTCCCTTGAGCATTGGTCACAGACTAGTCTCAATGGACCATCCACTTCCTGCTGGTTCTCGGTAGTCAACGAAACTCCTCATAGCTTAAAAGAAATTTTAGCCCAATTAGGGTTCTTTGTCCAAGGCACCGTTTGGGTGACACCCCAAATCATGGTTTGGGTGATAAGTCACCCAAACACCCACCCAATTTGCACAAACCATGGTTTTGGGCCAAAACTATGGTTTTGGAAAAAGCAAATTTTTTTTTGGAGAAAAAAGGAAGAGTGTGAGAGCTTATAGGATATGTATCTTGTTATTTTTTTTATAAACATATTTAATCTTATATTTTATAAATATATATACATATTAATTATTTATTAATTATATTATTTTATGTATTATTAATTATGTTAATAAAAAATATATTATTAACAATTTTATTCCTTCAAATTAAAATATATCAAAAAATCTATTTTTTCTGTAATTATCATATTAACTTATGTCTTTTTTTTTAGTAATTTGTATATATAAAAAATGCTTCTGATAACAACTATCTAAACACTCTCACTTCTCAAAATCATTTTTTCATAAAATCTATTCTTTTCAGAATCTATTTTCCAAAATCACTTTTCCAAACTACAGTTTGGTTTGCGTGTTCTCCAGTTTCATGAAGCTTCTGGTTCCCAGTCGGTGAGAGTAACGTGGGTCGCACAGATTGGTGTATTAGGCGTCCCAATTGTGGTTCTTGTTAAAAAAAAAAAAAAAATCGTCGTGGGTTCATGTAAGGCGAGTGCGATTTTATTATATACACGCACACATCTAAGGTGAATCCATTAGTGCTAAAACCTAAAAAATTTTATATTGGTAACCTTAATACTATAATACTACATCCTATTCTTAATACAAGATTTACTATCTTGGATCTTATATTAAGGAAAGCAAGTTGTATGTCATTTTGAATGGGCTTACGGAAATTTAGTAGTCAAGTGTCTAATCTTGTGGATGAATTAACTAATATAATATGAAATTACACCAAGCCACCGTTCCAATCAATTAAATTCACCCACACATTACGTAAAAGTAAAAGAGAGAGCAAAAAGAGGGGAAAGTAAGTGCCTTCCACTTGTCGTTTTCTACCCCTCTTCTTCATGAATGGAAAATGGGAAAAGATGCAAAGCAAGGCATAAACCACCACGAAAAAGGGACAGTGACCTTAATGAATTGGGCCCTCCATGTATACAACATTCACGTGGCATGTAATGGCAACCCTCCTCTTCTCTCTCTCTCTCTCTCTATATATATATATATATATATATATATATATTGTATATGTGAGGTTAATAAGTTGGTTGACTTGTTGGATTACCTCAACAAGGACATTACTATCATTTAATTAGGGTCTCGAGGGACAGCCTGGGATTAGGTCAAGCGTATTGATGGCATTTCACAAAAGCGGTGTTTGTGAATTGTGATATCGACCTCTTCCCCACACATATTAAAAAAAAAAAAAAAGGAACAGACAAGTCTCTATTTCAAGATAAGGGAACACAATGCCCATTTAAAATTCAAAATATCAACAAAAAAAGTGGAAAAAAAAAATTAACTCACATTACATTAACCTCTTTCGCCTTTAAAAAGATTCCCCTCTCCATCATTGTAAATCTTCTCACACAAACATTATACTTTTCGCCTTGTTTGGTTCTTATTGCAATTTCATTAGTTAAATTAAATGATTCCCACATACAGTGTGTCCCAACAGGTTTTGGTTTGAATGCGACCTTACCCTCCAAAAAAGGCAAACCCACATACATATTCCATACCCTAAATTATTGATCCTGGCCTAACAGTTCGAAAAGCATTATATTTTTTTGTACCAAAAAGAAAAAGCATTAGTTTTATGTACTCCTATTGTTCTTTTACATAAGAACCTTTTAAAAAATTTGTCTTTGATCCTTTCTTTCCATAACACTCCATTTAATTTTTTTTTTCCAAAGAAAAAAAGGCCCTCGTGAATTAATGAGGAAATGGGTATACAGTGATGAGGTAGAAAGAAATTACCCCATAATTTTAAAGTTAATTCTAAAAAAACCATACAAAGTTTTCTCGAAATTACTTTTATTTCTTAATAGATTGTTGACAAATTTACTATTACTACATAAATTAACTAAATTCCTTTTTTTTTTTCGTGAAATGGTTAAATTCTATATATAAACGGATGAAATGTATTACCAACTCTAAAATGAGTCATGAATAATATTGTCAATTACTCAAACTTCATGCAACATGCAATTAGTTTGAGTTTAAAACAATAATGGGGAATTGTCTTATTTTGGGATCGATCAACATCTTCAATGAATTATAGATAAGCTGTTGAGCAGAGAAGTTGATTGTAAGAAATTATTATTGTTATTATGATTATTAGAGATCTTGGTGATCCAATTAATAATGGCGACGAAGATGCAAAAGGCTCTACACCGCAGGCTATAGAGTCTGTAGTGCCAACAAATTTACTATTTATGGTAGACTTAATCATAAGGATATTTGAAGAAAAGCACAAAATGGCATGGCACATCCCCCATCCGCTTTAAGCTACTTTAATTAACTTATCAGAATTAAAAAATAATAATTAATTTATTAAATTTGTTTTAAATTGAAAATTTTTCTTCAATTTTACCTTTATTAAATGAAGTTGTGAAGCATTAAAAAAATATAAAAAGTTACTACATTTAAGCATTAATTACAAGAACAAAATTCACAAATAGGCACTAATTACTTTCTAAGTAACTTATATTTTGGTTAGTGTAATTCAGAGTATGCTCAAGTTGAATTTTATTATAAATTTAATGTTTTTAATTATTTTTATTGATACATACTATGAATTAATGAAAAATGATTTATATTTAGGATTAGAGAAAGTATAATTATTAGTTTTAAGGTGAGGCTTTTGTATATCATGTGAGCCATCTTTTTCCAAGTTTGCATGTTTTTTAGCAAATCTAATAATCGAGCATAAATGAAAAGGAAGCATAATTGTCAGTGTTTTAAACGCAGCAGCAACTCACAAAGAAGGAGGAGGAGAAGAAGAAAATGAAAAGGACAATTATGAGACTCAGCCAAATTTGCTTGAATTGATGGGGTCCAAAAGAGAATGGCACAATTCAGCTTGCTTTCTTTGTTTGCCAGAAAAACTGAAAATGATGTCTCTATATATGCATATTGCAATATCATTAACGAAAATGATGTTCTTGAAAATACCAAACACACCAACAAAAACCCAGAAATTGATGTTTTGGATTTTGATTTTGCATCTTACCCTCTTCAAATTTCAATCTCACTCACTCACTTCAAAGCCGTTATGTGTATGAAGCAAATCTTTTTAATTTATCGGGTCATTTTTTATCCTTATATATTTGGATTATCTTGACTTGGTACTATCTCTGATCCTAAATATAATAGCTAATCGACTAATTTAAGTATATTAAAGAAATAAGTTAAGCTAGTTATTTATAATAAATAGGTGTTATTTTTTCTAAAATATCCTTGCTAATTAAGTGTATTGGTTATAACTATCATAATTAGAAAGACTATCTTAGAAAAAAAACATAAATATAAGAGATAAAATAGATTGAGGTACTCCTCCAATTCTTAATATAGGACCCAATTATTGAGTTGGTTTTGATCCTAAATATAAGACTCATTTCTCATATTTATCAATTTTCTCTAAATTACCCCTATAGATACTCCCTCAACTATAATTAAGTAGAAGAAGGAGATGGGTATTAAGAAAGATGATTATGGTATTTTAGGAAAAACGTGTCACATTTTTTATAATTAACTAACTTACCTAACTTCCTTAATCTAATCAAATTAGTTAAATGGGTCTTATATTAAAGACCGGAAGAGTATTATATTTAGGATTAAAATAAACTTTAAATAAATTCTTATATTAAGAACCGGAAGTAATATCGTATTTTTAAGAGGATTTTACCCGTCAAAGAACGTTTATGTTGTACAATAATGATGGTAATACACTAAGTTTGTACTTTATATATAGGGAGATTGAAATCTCCATCTGTTGAAAAGCAGAAGCACTTATTATTATATATATTATGCGAATTACTTTTATATTTTCATAGTGGGATTGATTGAATTATAAACTTATATAAAAAAAAAAAGTGAAACATGACATCAACTGAAACCGTTAGAACC